GGGGGGTTACGGCTACACGTAGGTTATCTTTATTTATGCTCTCCCTAGCCTCAAAGGTGACTCACTTTGAAACTTTATTAGAAAAGAACAGCTTTGGCTGAGTGTCTCATGATGTAAGATAACAAAAAACAACAAATTCTTATACCTAAACATTGCTCATTTTGGTAATAATAGGCCAGTTTTCAGAATAGTACAGTTCAATTTGAGGCGACCTTTTATAACTCACGGACTCACGTAGTGTTGATTACCTTTCTGCCATTTGTACACACTGCCCTTTGCTACCAAAGCTCACGTATTGTAGTGGCTAACATTCTCAGTAGACTGATGGTTTCATGCCTTGTATTATCAACCCGCTCTTAACGTAATTAAATTTTGTTTTTTTTCTAAAAATTTGACTCAAATGTTCTAGTTTTTTGCAAGTCACAGCAGAGAAAATGGATTCGGAAAGGCAGAGGGACAATCGGGTCGAGTTTAACGGGAGAATTAATCATCATTAATCACCATTAATTACCATCTTCCCAAACCACTCACGCATACCACTACCTTTAAGAATACATAATGTATCAAGCTCAAAAATAAACGATACAGGATACTTTCCTTATAAGCAGTTATTTCTTTTATGCAGGCGTTGTCGGTGTGTACTGGTGACCAAATTCGTCATTATGTGATATTCCATGATCAGGTATGAGAGAACAACCGAGGAAATCCTAGAATTACATCGTTTTTTTCTTCTTTTCACAAAATCGTTAAACTTGACGTTTCTCGTTCACAGAATCAAGGGTACGCTCTGCAACCTGAAGGGCCAAGATTTGATAAACTAGAGGAAATGATAGAGCATTACCACGACTTCAATCTGCCTAAGTGTGACGCAAAACTCACGAGACCTCACCGATCATGATCAGTGCAGACGACGTGACTGGAGAAGATTTTTAAATTGACAAAAAAAAAAGGAAAAAAAAGCCTATAAGTAAATCGAGTGCTTGTTTGGATTGCAAGCAATGACAATTCTTGTTTATGCTCTTCTCTTGTACAAAGGAAAACTGAAGGCGCAGTGCAGCCTTCGAAATATTTACTTTATAGCTATAACTCACTTTCTTATCCAGGTCTTTCATAATTATGGACCTACTCCTCTGTCCACGGAATGGACGACTAATTAAGTTGACTACTAAAGAGGAGCATGCAGAAAGCCCGTACGCGTGTAGGTTTAGATTTTTAAGAAATATGACATAACTGCACAGAAATATTAATCCAACTCAAGAAATTTAATTATCAAGTTTACAATTAATTATGTTTACATAATTATGGACCTGCTCCTCTGTCCACGGAGTGGACAGACGACCAATTAAGTAGACTACAATAGAGGAGCATTCAGAAAGCCCGTACGAGTGTAGGTTTAGATTTTTTAGAAATATGATATAAGTGTACAGCAATATTAATCCAACTCAAGAAATGTTCATTATCAAGTTTACAGTTCCTATGTTGTGCGTTCGTTGAGGAACCCTTATCCAGGGCACTCTGTGCACATATGGGAGTGTCCGCTCGAAGGGCGTTCCCCAAACGAAGTTCGCATTATGGGGGCAGTGTTAGGAGCACCAGCCCTCCACTGCTGTTTTTCGAGTTTGTTTCCTTGGACTTGGCGGCATCATGCACATCAGAATGGACCACAGCGTAAATTAATTCTCTACTCAATTTCTTCATGTGTTTCTTTTCTCCATCACACAATGGTCCC